AATTTATATATTAGTTGTGATAATCATATTTTGAGCAGGGGTTAAGATAATCCAAGGGTAGAGTGACACACAAGCATTAACTACTCATTCTCATAATATATTATCTAAGCTAAGTGGATAGAAAAGAGAAAGATAATCTATTCCTATACTTCTAATATACATAGTATACATACATTCTACTTAACCGATATACTAGCTAATACCCTCTATCTGATGCCCTTCTGGTACTTCGAGAAGCCACCCCTGACTGCTGAGTTCCTTACGACAGCCCGTCATGACCATACAACCAGGGCTAAATATGGAGGAATACCCTCCCCAGCGAATTAACTTAGGATTATATACTGGCGCGGAGGAATACCCGTACTGAGCTGTCACCATCAGTGGCCCACCTCTCATCCGCAATATATAACCCTAAATAATGATATCCCGTAATCTAGACACCACGCCTAAACTACCAGATACTACTCTAATATCATCGTTATGACATAGAATAATTGCATAAGCAAACATTATACCCGCACCAAAGCATGTCCCAGATAAGCTAGCCGTATATTCAGTATAACATGAACATAATGTAAAGTAGGTACTCATGGCCAAGGCCATGTGTTCAAGACCCTTAGAAGATTCTTTTGCCCTACCCCTCTCAGATGAGGCTTATTCTGAATTTTTGCAGCTTCAGGAGGTTCTGGACACTTTGAATTTACAATCAGGGATGGGGGATGCTTGGAATTTTATCTGGGGTTCAGATAAGTACACAGCTAAGAAATTTTATAAATTAAATTATTCCGCATTGCAACCCCCTAGGCCCATGATTTGGCTATGAAAAACAAAATGTGTCATGAATATCAAAGTCTTTGCCTGGCTAATGTTCTGTGATAGGCTCAATACAAGAGATATGCTGGATAGAAGACATTGTGCCAAAGAAAATGATGATCTCACATGTGTTTTGTGCAATGCGAACTACGGAGAGACAAGGCTACACCTCTTCTTCTTATGTCCTTTCAGCATCAGGTGTTGGAAATACCTGGGAATTGAGTGGAATAATAATTTGGAGTTTTTCCAAATGATCACCCTAGCAAGACTCATATTTGCTCATAAGGATTTCTTGGAAATTTTCTTTTTGGCAGCTTGGCACATCTGGAAGCAAAGGAATGGCTTCATATTTCAGAACATTCAGCCCTCCTTCTAGGCATGGAGATCTCTTTTCGTCAAAGAAGTTCTTCTGCATATGTGCAGAATAAATGATCCTTTAAAGCAAATTGTTTTTAATTGGGTACAAACATTATAGTCTTTCTGTGTGACCCGCATGTAATCTCTGTAACCTTGTAAATATTTTATTTATTTACAAAATTACACTGTTGGGCAAAGCCCTAGCAGTTTTCATGGTAAAAAAAAGTAGGTACTCATATACTCAAAAAGTATTTCAATACCATAAATGTATATAGAAGAGTATTCTAACAAAAGTACAAAGCTTACAAAAGAGAAGAGAAGCTACTAGAGCCATACCCGAACTCTTCCGAAGGTTTCCGGACTCCTGATTTCTACTCTATTCCTATTCCACTAGCTAGATACTACTAAGCTAAACTTGAGAGAAATGAGAGAGCTATTGCTTGAGGTGTGTGAGTGAAGTGAGGATGAGAGTTCCTTTTATAGCCTCCCAATGACGGTTGTGACGGTTGGAATGGTCCGTAATACCCTCCAACCGTCATTGGGGAGCAATCTCAGCCGTCCAGGGGAACCCTGGATCAAACGGAGCTGCGGGGGGTTTGGCCAAACCATGGGCTGGGCCAACCTAGCCCAATTTCGGCAGGCAGCCTCCCCTTTTGCTTCACTTCGTAGACTTGTGAATTTTGGCTCAATTCGTCGTGTCAATTTTGAGTTCTTGGCCCATTCATACATAAGTCTGATTCTCGATATCGTCCGATTGATTTATCGTCTGTGTTGATGTCGATTCTCCTCCACTTTATTGTCATTCTCTGCAAAAGGTTAGTATACCTACTACTAGTGGAATATTATTATTCTAACATATTTATGCATTGCAAGCATCACTAGTTCTTCTCTATTTTGGTAATATTGACGGTCGAAACTGATCGATAACGACCGTCAACAAAAATCAAGGCCATCGAGAACGTGAAATTGCCCACAAGACTCAAGGAAGTCCAGAAGCTAACTGGATGCATGGCGGCACTAAGCAGGTTCGTCGCTAGGATGGGAGAGCGAGGACAACCTTTCTTCGCCTTGCTGAAGAAACAAGACAAATTTGTGTGGACACAGGAAGCCGAAGATGCGTTCATTGCGCTCAAGCACTACCTGTCAAATCCCCATGTACTTGTTGCTCCCCAACCTAATGAAGAATTATTCCTCTATATCGCTGCCACGCCGTATTCTGTGAGTACTATCATCGTTGTCGAGAGAGAGAAGGTGCAAAGACTGGTTTATTACATCAGCGAAGCTCTCCACGACGCGAAAACAAGATACCCACAGATCCAAAAGCTGCTCTATGCAGTAATCATGACATCAAGAAAGCTACGCCACTACTTCCAAGCCCACTGTCACAGCTGTTTCCTCCTTCCCTCTTGGAGAAGTCGTGAGAAACAAAGACGTTGTCGGCCGCATTGCGAAATGGGTACTCGAGCTAAGCCAGTTTAATGTCCACTTTGTGCCACAAATAGCTATTAAGTCTCAGGTCCTTGCTGATTTTGTAGCCGACTGGACTATGCCTGAGAACAAGTCGGACAGTCAAACAGACAGCGAAACATGGACAATGGCGTTCGACGGCGCACTCAACAGCCAAGGACCAGGGGCAGGGTCCATCTTGACGTCACCTTCGGGAGATCAGTTCAAGCATGAAATCCACCTCAACTTCAGGGCAACCAACAACACAGCCGAGTACGAAGGACTACTCGCCGGGATAAGAGCAGCAGCCGCACTGGGAGTCAAGCGACTAATCGTGAAAGGGGACTCAGAACTAGTCGCGAACCAGGTGCACAAAGACTACAAGTGCTCTAGCCCCGAGTTATCCAAGTACCTCGCAGAAGTCAGGAAGCTAGAGAAAAGGTTCGATGGGATTGAGGTCAGAGACATATACTGTAAGGACAACATCGAACCAGATGACCTGGCATGGCGTGCATCCAGACGAGAGCCACTCGAACCTAGTACTTTTCTAGACGTCCTGACAAAGCCATCGGTGAAAGAGGCGAACAACGAAGGTAGCACGGTCGTCCCCGACATCAGCTCGGGGGCTACAAAAGAGGAACACGTTGTTGCCGATATCGAGACCACAGACGACTGGCGGACCGTAGTGATGAGTTGCCCGAGGATGACGCAGAAGCTGAGAAGATAACCCGTCAAGCCAAGATCTATTGTATGATTGGCAACGATCTATACAAAAAGGCGTCAAATGGAGTACTTCTCAAATGCCTCTGGTCCGACGACGGCAAACATCTCCTCCTGGACATACATGAAGGGATCTGCGAGTCACACGCCGGCGGACGGAAGCTGGTAGGAAAAGCTTTTCGACAAGGGTTTTTTGGCCGACCGCACTCAAAGACGCCTGCGATATGGTGCAGCGGTGTGAAGCCTGTCAATTTCACAGCAAACACACAAAACTGCCAGCGCAAGTGCTCCAGACTATCCCCCTTACTTGGCCGTTCTCGTGCTGGGGGCTCGATATACTCGGACCATTCCCACGAGGACAGGGCGGCTACAAATTCCTATTCGTGGCGATCGACAAATTCACCAAGTGGACCGAAGTGACGCCCACAGGGGAAATCAAGGCCAACAATGCCATCAATTTTATCAAAGGGATATTCTGCAAATATGGATTGCCTCACCGCATCATAACAGACAACTGCTCCCAGTTTATTAGTGCTGACTTCCAGGATTACTGCATCAAATTGGGAGTCAAGATTTGCTTCGCCTCGGTTTCTCACCCTCAGAGCAATGGACAAGTTGAAAGGGAAAATGGCATAGTACTACAAGGGATCGAGACCCGCGTCTATGACAGACTCATGTCTTATGACAAGAAATGGATCGAAGAACTCCCCTCTATTTTATGGGCCGTGTGTACCACACCGACAACATCCAATAAGGAGACATCCTTCTTCCTCGTGTATGGCTCAGAGGCCATGCTCCCCACGGAGCTACGACATTAGAGCACACGAGTACAAAGGTACTCCGACGACGAGCAGGAGCAGCAGCGAAGCGACGATGTGAATCTACTCGAGGAACATCGAGAAAGAGTTGCCGTTAGAGCAGCCAGCTACCAGCAGGCCCTTCGCCGATATCACGAGAAGCGCATCAGAGCACGCACGCTTTCGATCGGCGATTACGTCCTCCGACGGGTTCAAAGTCAAGCAGGGCGCAACAAGCTCTCACCCAAATGGGAACAACCATATACGATCACGCAAGTTTTGTGGCCGGGTGCATTCAAGATTGCAGATGGCGATGGTCGCGAGTTAGCAAATTCCTGGAACATTGACCAATTACGTAAATTTTATGTATAAATCAATAGTATCCATATTTGTAAGACATCTCACGATTTCAATAAAGTTGATTTCAGGTAAAGAATATTGTCAAAGTATTCCTTCCCGACGATCCCTTACCATGACGACACCTAGAGTTGAAACCTATACTCATGTCCCTTTACGCCGTCTTGACAAGGCCTCTGAGGAACCTTAGGGAACTTCGGCTGGGGACGCCCAGAGCGGATAAGGCCTTGTCAGATCATGCAGAGACAAACAACCATGTAAGATCTAGTCATGTAAGAGTTCTCACTGTGCGTATTAACCAAGTCGTGTAATCGGAAATTGAGTTTTCCAACTTCACGGCTGGGGGCTAGGGTCAGTGCTTTTTCAACCAAGGCAGGTCAAGGGTCCAAGTGCCTTATCCTCCAAGAACGATTCTCCGACGACAAGGCTGGGGGCTAGGGAGAGTGTATGGCTCAAGCGACTGATCGAAGTCGCAAAGCGAGAAAACACTCATACACAACATACCCAGAGTAAGAAAACTTAGTTAGATAGATTCTCTTTATATTTTACAAGTATTTCTTACAAGTCATAAATACTTCAAAGTATATTACATGCTTCCTTGAGATATTCTTCTACAGGATACCAAATCTACCTGGACGGCCAACGCCATTCCATGGAGCGGAAAACCTTCTCAGCAAGCGGCGCCATCGACTGCGCAAGACCGTCGATCTCCGCAGGTGTCCTCCGACAACGCGAGAACCCTTCGCGAAGGAACTCGAGGTGCAGCTGCGGGCGGTGATCTCGGATGCAGGCTAGCACATGTCCTCCGGCGTAGCAGCTCGCTCGACGACACTCCTGCTTCATGACATCATCGATGCGATGGCCAATCCCTTCAAGCTGTGCGCAGGCCCCATTCAACCACGAGATATAACCGGCCGTCGACTCCTCGGGATCTTCGCGGGGTACTCGGAGCTCCTTGCAAACCCTCGCCATCGCCATGCAGCAGCTCTTGAGGTACGAATTGAACCACACCTCGCGACCCTGGAGAGCTTCCACAGCCTGGTCCTTCTTCACCGCCACCATGGTTTTTTCGAGTTCGGCCACCTCGAGCTTCGTCTTCCAATATCATATTCGACGATCTCGTTCAGCCAACATGTTCTCGAAATCTGCCAACACGGAAAAGACTAAGTCAAGCTATTCTTCTCTTCCGAGAGCACAGCTAATTAAGTCAATCCGAACACAGGGAGTGAAGGAGGGCAAGACACAAACCTAGGGACGTCATCGCCACGTTCGCCTCCGTGCATGAACGGCTCGAGTATGAGCGCCAGAACGATCACCGGCATATTGGGCTGCCCGCGCTGCTGGACATCCTCGACATCAACATATCTACAACGACAACAAAGTACTCGGAATCACATGCTAAGGAAACAGGGGAGACAGCTGTTCAGATAAGAGCAGTTTGGATCCACATAAAAGTTTTACAGCATGAAGGTTAAGGGGTACAAGGGAAAACAAATATCTTACTCTTTAAAAAGGGGGAGGACGGACTCCCCCAAGTCACCGACTTCTTCCATCGTAGCCTTGCGCGCATCATCGGCGGCCCCCTGATCCAAAGCCTTCATAAGGCCCAGATCGGGATGTGCCAGCCTCATGCACGCAAGGACATGGCACGCCCCGGTGTAGATGCCGTTGGACGTCTCCTTGTAGATCCTGGTCGCATGCTTGGAGGGGATCTCCATCGCCGTAGCCAGTTCCGCAAGCGACAACATCAGCGAGAACTCATTGGGGTGTGCCGGGATGGTAGTCGTGACACCACACTCCCCGGCGAGTTAGTGCAGGCTGGTGAACGACGTTCGCAGCGAACCTCGGATGTCGATCATGTGGCCCTCGAGCTCCAACATCCGGTGCTCGAGTCCGCGCCGCTGCATCTCATTGTTGGCCACTGTCACGCCCGGAAATTCACTAGTAATTTCCGAACTTATTTGTGCATAAAACCTTCGTCCAGGAATTAGCCGAGGTACACAAAATAACAATTTAATATACAAATCCATCATAATAATAACGTTACATACTTACAAAAGAAAAGAAAACAACAGCGGAATTAACGGTCTAGCAATGGCTTCAGCTCCACTCCCACAGGCAGCTCAACTGGGGTATAAGCCAAACGTCTTCTCCTTCTAGATCATTTTTCTTCAACTGAGGTTGATTGATTATTGCAAGAATGAGCATATGACATACTCAACAAGCCACACAGCAAATATGCAAGTGCACAAGGACACCAAAGGATGGCATAATATAGGCTCATTTGCAAAAGCAGCATTTAGCAAAGATTTAAGAGTAGTAAAACAGTAGAGTAATTTAATCATTAATTTTAATCAACACTGAACAACACGCTCATGCTGCTCAGGCCCAACCATTCTGAACAACCATACCCGGCTATACAGATCTACTCCAAACCAGGAGCTAAACAAATTATTACCAGTTATAGCATCAATAATTATTGTGAGAGGTGTGAGACTAATCACGAAAAACATTGCTTAACCCGCCCATGACCGCGGGCACGGCTATTCTAATAGTTTTACTCTGGCCAGAGGTGTACCACTGTACCCACAAGACACAGCCTCAACATCATGTCTGCCATGGGTCGCGATACTGGAAAGTACCCGAATAGAGGCTGTGACAATACCCTCTGCACAACACAACTCACCACAGTGCACCGTTCCTGGATCATAATCACCCCCTCAAAAACCAGAGGCATGGACTCCCCAGCGACCCCCACGGACTTCTCGCCGCTTCTCAGTCTGGCACCCCGTAATGAACCATGCTATACAAAAGGTAAAGCCGTTGCCCACGCTGGCTTGTGGTTGGCACGGTTAATGTTTCACAATAGTAGCTCGCGAACCGGTCCTTAATTGTCATGAGCATGACCTTCAAAACCATGTGCTCACAACCCACCATTGACAAGTTTTAATTATCAATTAATTATCATAACACGATTAACCATCGTGAACTACCATTAAATATAATCATGAATAATAATGTAGTATGTATGATTCATCCCATTAATGAGCTAATGTTTCTAAGCATGGCTAAGCAACTGTAAATAACATTTAGCTGAACCAAACCAATACATAAGGTTCAAGCTAATCAATTTATTATCCAAGGTATCAAGGAATAGGGCATTCAATGCAAATTGGCCATAACAAAGGAATAATAGGTTCACACCACCCGGTGACATTCGAAAATAAATGCACAGTTGAAATAAATAGACAATTTAAATATAGGATCAACATGCTCAAAGGATTTGTGTTTAGTAGCTGTGTGACTTGACTTGCAATAATCGGTCTTCAATTAATCTTCTTGAACACTTCCGACGCACTCACGAACCTTCGCAACGACGGAAACGGCAAGCTAACACGCAAAACGGAAAAAAAAACTAATAAAAACCAAATAAACAGTACATAAAAAATAAACAAACATGTAGATCATGATTTTAGATGAATTTAGAGACTTGAACGGCCTCATTCCGAGTTCATATAAATTAGTTATGAATTTTACAAGATTAAACTGATTTTAAGATTTATTTTTAGAACGGAATTATGACATCACGATGACGTCATCGCCGGCCATGGCACTGGACGACGCGACCACCGGCGATAGAGAGCTCGGCCGGGCTATCCGAGGACACCAACGCGAAGAGGACGACGACGTGAACTCACCGGTGCAAAGAACAACAACAGACGACGACGAACGACGGCCGGCGACGAGGTTCAACGGCGGCTCGACTTGGGTCCCCGACGGCGACGGCGCTCTGGTGGTCTTCGGCGGCTGCGAAGGGGTGGACGGGGTTCCTCTCCTCCGTGCGCACCCGACGGCGGCGACGGACGGCAACGGAGACGGTGCTAACGGCGGCGCAACGCGACCGGAGGATCGCCGGCGACGGCGGCGGCGGCTCTACAGGCGACAGCTCGGCTTGGGACTTGGGGCAAACGGAAGAGGACGTCAAGGGGATGCTTTATATAGGCTTGGGCTAGAGAGATCTGACTCCAAACGAGAGGATTTGAACCGGAAAATCCAAGGGTTAGTTTGGAGAGATAAACTCGAAAACGAATTCGATTCGGTTTATCTGGGCAAAATTAATCTCCGAGACTTTAGGGGAAAGGAAGAGGATAAGTAGGAGATGATTTCCCCTCAACTAATTTCAGGAAAACACAAGAGAAAAGGTCGGATTTGGAGGGGAAAAACCGAGCCAACTCGGTCTCAGTTCGGCAGCCAGAGGTTGAAGATGAACAGTACCGGAGATACAAAATAGACTTTCGGCTGGCTGAGAACAGAGCAGAGCAGCTCGACTTGGGCCGGCTTGGGCTGCACAGCACGCGCGCGAGGGAGAGAGATGTTGGGCTGAAATCAGCCCAACGGCTTAGGAGAGGATTTAAAAACTTTTTCCAATTAAAATAATCACTGAAATGTTCTTTAAATTGTTAAAAATACTTCCAATGCTCAAATAATTTCAAGAAAAATCCTGAAAATACTTGGACACTCAAAGTACTTAAAAAAATTATAATCATACCATGTAATGATTAATTTAATATGTGGATAATTACTGAAATGTTCTTTGTATGATTAAAATTAGGAATTGAGCTCCGAAAAATCCGAGAATATTCCAGAGAGTATAATTAACCATGGAGAATTTAATAAAAATTAAATCCATCCATGCTTTATATTTAGAAAATTTTATTTCCCACATTTAACTTCACTTGTAAATTAATGAACATTTAATACAAATTCTAATAATAATTTATTAAATAATTTATAAATCCTAAGACGAAAATCAGGATGTGACAGCCACCAGCTCCCTCATCTTTAGGAGGTCCTCGCGGGCCAGCTGGTCGGCACGCTGGTTTGCTGACGACGCTGCCGCCCTGGCCTCCTCGATCTCGCGACCTACGCTGCGAGCACTAGCCTGGAGGATGCGCTCCATCTCCACTTGGAGCTCCCCCCAGGTGAGGGCATCAGCGGACGGACCCCGAGTAGGCATGAGGCTGACGGCAGGGCCACTCGGTGCCGCCTCCTGGTTCATAGTAGCGACCACAACTCCTGTTGAGGTCGCCGTAGGGGACGCGCTGGAAGCGGCATCAGTCCCACCTTGCGTCGCCTTTGCCCGCGCTGCCCTGCAAAGATTTTTCTCTTCCCCATGAGGCGAGGTGATCGAAATTTTGAAAATGACAAGACCTCAAGAACGTTTACTTACTTCTCGCCAATCATCACCAACCTTTGCCTTCGTTGAGGTGGAGGAGACGCGTCCGAGCCCTGAATAAGATGAAATGGTATGAGATCAAGTTGTTCCGACTACGCGTTAGGGAACGACAGAGAAGTTTACCGTAGAGTTTGTCGCTTTCCGACAGGTCCCAAGTACAGAGGAGAATTTCCTTCCCTTCTTTGGAACGTTGCTACCACTCGTGGTGGCAGCAACAGCGTCAGATGCCTCCTTGGCGATGCTATCCTTCAACGACGCTGCCGCCTGGTGGTCCACGAGTGGCCCGATGACGTCCGTCAGAGGGAGAGCCTGCACAACGTGAAGTCACGACGCGATCTCAAGGAGAAAGATGTAAAGGAATCATCGAGTACACTCACATTGATCTCAGCGGCGCGTTCGGCCGGGCCCTTCTCACAAAGGGGGATCGGGATGTCGCCCGCCGCTTAGGGGGCGCTGATCATCACCTGACCGATGCGGCGCCCCACGGTGTCACTATCCAGACCTGTGAATCAAAAACGAGAACTCGATAAAGTCAGGAGAAACAGATGCACTCGGAACAAAATTAGAAATGCGAGAAAAAAATACCCCGAGGAGAGACTCGGGTCGTGTCCTCTGGCCCAGAGTAATCAAAGGCCGGATGGGTGCGGGCCTGTAGCGGTTGAAGACGAGACGAAGAAACTCAGAAGGCGGAGGAAGAAAACCACAAGAAATGTAATCTTCGACCACAACCATGCGGGCCAAGATGGGTTCAGGTTTTATACCTCCTGCCTCCCTCTGCATGGTCTCGCGACCATGGAGGGCACCGTCGTCTTGCAACTTCTTCATGGATGCGGTGGTTGAGGTGGACTTTTCAAGATCCATCGCCGCTGGAGGATCGCCGGAGAACAAGATGAAAGAAGCACGCTAGGGTTTTCTTTGAGGAGAGCAGAGAAGACGAAGAGCGCTTGAGGGCAGGAGAGTTTTCTGGCAAACGGACTTCAAATGGATTCCCAAAATTCCTTTAAATAAGCGCACTGCCGACGGAAAGTATTCCAAGGAAAGGAGAGAGATTGCCGCCGGAAAATTCTAGGTCCGTTGCGCGCGGAAGTTTTCAGACTTCAATCTAAATTCACTCGTGACCGTTGGACTTCTTGCGGTGTTGTGGATGGCTCTTTGTCTCTACGGTTTTTTGCACCAAGATCGACCAGATGAGAACGACAACAATTCCGACATCGGAAGTCGCGATCGACTACATGAGTTCATTTAAGTAGAAGTCGGGGGCTCCTGTCAGGGTTACGAATAAGGTATACCCTCTATCCTTGGATATACGATGGATACCGATACAATATACCCGCGCGTGTACGAATAGTTTCTGTATACATTAAGGAAATCTATCCCGTGATAGAAACAGAATCTACGGATGGACTCGGATGAGGTTGGGTTTTTACCATATCGTGAGGGGTCCGATATCTCGGAGTCCTACTTTACTTGGAGATCAACTGACCCGCGGTATATAAGGGATCCCCTGGGCAGGACCTAAGGCATCGAATATTACTGCCAATACACCCCCCACAACCTACGAAGCCGGAGCCTACAGGAGCCAAGTCGCCGGGAGATCTAGTCGGGCCAACTCGACTACGGTCTCGTCGGTATCATCGAGTTCTGTTACTCCCTTTGTAATCTGTGTTTTCCATTATATAATCCCATACCAACTGGATTAAGGCTATTACCTGCCAAGGGGCCTGAACCAGTATAATCCTTGTCTTTTGTTTGCTCGATATCGTACTACGTAGATCCTCG